TGAAATATTCTTTTATTTGTTAATCCAACGCGCCAATCGTTGAATGAATGATCAATACAATAGAGAGATAAATCTAAACGATGATAAATAAGTATAAGAACAATAAGAATTGCAGTCGAAATTGTAATTGTTAATCTGATAGACCAAGTAGCGACTGTATCTTTATTTTCGATTTGCTTGAAACTTAATTCATTTTCAATAATCATAAGAACAATACCCAAAATAGCAACAAAACACATGATATCACTCAATAAACGACTAGCATAAATTAAAAAAAGAAATTTCTCAATGAAAAAAGAAAAAAAAATTCATTTCTTACAGACGCTTATGTAATTTTTTTCGTAAAGTTAACCGATGGCTCATCTTCACCATAAAAGCATCTGTAATAGATCTTTGGTTGTTATTTAATCTCACATAAAGTTCAGTTTGCTTGTTTTTCTCTGCGTTTTTCTTCAATGATCGAACATAAGGAAGAGATGATGTTGAATTAGAAGTCATATGAATCGTCGTTGATGGTGCTGAACTACCAGCTGCAAATGGATTAATTGAGGATTGATCAGAATTTTGAATCGAAGCCATTCGACCCACTCAATTCAATTGCAAACGAAAACTTTATCTAATAAACGCAGATTTATTAAAATGTAAACTAATTATGAGAGTGTGAGAAGAGAATAAAATAGCTTTTTGGTGATATTTTTTATTTTTTTCGGGATTATATCGTCCTATCAAATTTGTTATTGGTTGATGATGGATGAAAACGTTTATCAATGACGATGTATTTGATGAAACGTATCTAAATGCATTCTTTTTTTGTAATAGTCACATGATAGCAACACGAGCACTAAAATATAGATTACTTTCGCTTTCACTCTTTTATTTACCTCAGGTGATTAGAATTTGAATGATAATGTTTGCTGTTGTCATTCAAATGAGAGAAATATGCGCGCAAAAAAAAGTGTATAAAGTAAATATGTGTATAAAAATAAAAGGCAAATTAACGATTATTGGGTGTAGGGCAGCATGATAGATATGTATGATTGTTGGAAAAAATTTCAAAAAATCGTATACTTTTGCTTGTTCTGTGCATACTAAACATGTGACTAACGAGATCCGAAGAAATATAGCTGGTAAAAGTCAGAACTAAATTTCTATTAGAAGCTGCCTTGTCACTATCTTCTGTATTAACAAGAGAGATACTGCAACTGTTTCCGATGATTCGACTTCATATTGTAGCTCTCAATACATCTTGATGAAATTAAATAAAATTGAGAGGAGTTCGTGCGTATTGTGTAGAATTGGCAACATATGATTGTCGTCATATTGTAACCAGACGAATTTTCTGAGGGATTTTCAAAAAATTTTGTTTCCTTATCATGAACGGTCTGATTTATGTATCATATTTGAAGAATAGTATTATGGGAATATATGTACATATGATAAAAAGTATTTTGAGCACGTGGTTCTTTCGCAAACGCATACATCGAAAGTAATAATAGAGGATAATAATAAGAAAGGCAGTCGTATTGTATTTTTTTTCTTTTGCAGAATGAAGAAAACTACGCTTGTTGTCATTGCCATGTTGTCTGATCGAATTTTTGAAGTAGAAATCTCATCGATAAATTAGTGATTCAGAAAGCTTTGAACCTATTGAACGCTGATAAGAAATACTTAGGACAATTCCAAAGTAGTGGCGAAGGTACTTTATTTTCTGATAGAAAATTTTTTCAAGTTTTCTATCAGAAAATAAAGAACCTTAGTCAGTATTTTTAGATTGCTGCCTAAGTATTATTTAGCCATAGTGCTTAGAACACGTTTTTCCATGTGTCAAATTCTGTTTCGTATATAATTATTAAGATCCGAAATTCTTTCACGGAGAGTAGTAGAAATCAATATGTACGATAAGTGAGTCAGCCCTAGAAAATTTTAAAAATTAACATGTAGAAATGCCAAAAAAGTGTAAACAGTCTCAAAATTAAAAATCTATCATTGAAAATAAATGCAAAGTTACGTCTATTAGATTTTATTTCAAAACCATCTAACATCGGAAAATTAAAAAAACACGAGTAAAGCATGATAATAGAAATTAGGTTAGTATAAATACAACGTTATTTTTATTTTTGTATTGTTCAATTTATATATATGCCTTATTTTGTTACCGTATTGACCTGAATATTGAGTTTATAAAGAAAAATAAACTACATCTTTTGAATTATTCAATGCATAATTCAAATTTGCAAGTTGTTCTTGAATTTTATCCATTTTCAATTCCAATTCTGTCAAATCTTGTATTGTTTCATTTGTATTAACACCTGTACTACGCTGGATAGTCATTATGTCAGTTAGATCAATAATGTCGTCTGTTAAACATAGTTGCTTTCGTTTAATTTGATGAATAATACCTATTGATCGGAATAATTTTCTTTGCATTTGAAGATATCGCATCGACGATAATGGTGTATTTCTTTTTTTCCAAAACCATAGTTTCCATGCAAATTTAATAACATTTGCTGCTTGATTTTTATGTTCTTTAACTAATTCAGTATTTAAAACAAAAGTATGCACATAGTTTTCCCATCGACTCAGCATTAATTTCCGTGTAACTAAGGCAATAAAAAGTGAAACAGAAAAGAGACCAAACATACCAGTTAAAACGCAAATAGCTAATAACAATGACAAAGCTTGGTTATTTATTCTATTGATCTTGAAGAAAAGACATCACTTACCTCTACCGCAGTGAGTTGCTGCCGCCAAATTTGAATACCCAACAGTACCGAATATTGGAACGAATAACCACATGGCATCGGTTAGTGGAGCATGTTCATGAGTAGGTTCATACTCACAAGCACGAAAAGACCAACCTCCAACAAAAAATATAAGCGTACACCAGATCAATAAGCAACGTTCTGGCCATCGTTTAAGATAAGTTTTAATAACAAAGAGAAAATCGAATGATACTGTACTAAGATAACCAATTGATTGAGATGCCGCATCATGAAACAAATGAGAATGATATAAAATAACACGACATAATAAATAAAGACGAGCAAACACTATTTTTAGAAATAATTTCAATTTTTCAGAAGCAAAAACAAAAAAAAGAAACGCTATACTCACTTGGTATACCAAGTGCAACATCAATATCTACATGAGAATAAGGATAAGGAGTTGGTTCAGTTGAAGTTGAATCTGATGTTTCTATGATTATCTGCTCGTAATTAGGAAACGACCGTACGACAGGGTGAACAGCACAAATAACAACTTCAAGTACAATTTGAAATATTCTTTTATTTGTTAATCCAACGCGCCAATCGTTGAATGAATGATCAATACAATAGAGAGATAAATCTAAACGATGATAAATAAGTATAAGAACAATAAGAATTGCAGTCGAAA